TTTTAGGCAGATTTATATGTATGGACCGTCCAAAAGCTGTAGACAAAAAACAATTGCAGGAAGAAATTGTTAAAAATCAACAAATACTGTATCACACAATATATATTAGCAAGCATGCCAAAAATTAAGCAAAAAATTGCTGCAAACATACTAACGTAATGCGAAAACAAATGACAACTTAGGAGGACAATAAATTGCACTTATTCTTCAAGTACATTTTTCCACTGTGCATGCAGTTCAAACTCAAGCATTTGAAGTAGAAGGTACCACTGTATTGGATCATAGTAAACAATCATACATTGTGTAATGATGGAAGGCGATTGACTGTGTGAGTTGGGAGGAGATTGCACCATTATGTTTTGTGTGAATGTTCATGCAAGTTTTCATTTGAATATTTTTGGGTAGTGATTTTATTAAGTTATATCCTCTGTGTTTTACTTCTTTTAGAATATCTTGAATGTTGCTACAATGTGTATATGCCTTCTTTATCAATGCCCCAAATGCTACATGTTTGTATTTAATGGGATGTATAGATCATGAATGAATGAATCATGGTTGAAAGTTTGGTTTGTAACATACAAGGTCTAGTCAGGTTTGTGGTACACCAATCATATTGAGCTTTGATTGTGAGATTCCTAGACCAAACATTTCTAGAACATTGGATTGGCAGAGGTGAACCAATTCTTTAAACTTCTAAGTCTCCCAACATTACATTTCTGGATTTTTTTGTGGGTTATATGAAAGACCAAGTGTTTCAAACTCCTTTATAGATATTGATGATTTGAAGACCCAATGCTGTTGTCCTTGTATATGGATACATGCTGCATTGAGTACAGATAGAGTTGGAATGCTGATTAGATGTTTGTGCCACTTGATTTGCTGCTTATCATATGGATGCATTGCTAGTTACATTACCTGAACCTCTGTCCAATCTTTCACTTCCAGACACATCTAATTTAGATATAACCATATTAGTTATATTTATATACTAGCTTACCCATCGTGCATTGCTGCAATCTCAGAAGAAAGGAAATTCAAGCAAACTCATTATATCATTTTTATTGAAACTTATTATTATTATTCATTTTCATCAGGAAAACATTTCAAAGTGTCGTTTCAATTCTATTTATTTATTGGAGTGCTTGTGGATACATGATATTTTTTGTTTTTCCATCTGGTGCGTACACGAATAAATCAGAAGGTTTTCCGACACGTGAGCTGGATACATACAGTTGTCCATGTGAGAAGCATGGATTCTTTAAATTTAGCCCACATACTCGTAGAGATTGTTATAAGTGCGACATTCCCCATTTTTATATATATTTTTAAATCCTTTATAATTTTGATTATTTAATTGCTCCTTCCTCTCTTCCTTGGCATGTTGTGAAATTTCTGATAGTTGGATAATAAACTGTTTTATTGTAATTTGTCTTTTTAAATTATTTTGAGTTGATATTAAAATTTGGAAAAAGGGGGATCCATAGATCGGTAAAATAGGTGAATTTCCTTCTACAACTTCAGTTGTTGTTCGGGATACAGTTAAGGTTTTAACAAAGTTCAAGCAAATATGTAATTAGCAAAAAAAAAGTTGAAATGAAGTGATTAAACAAAAATGATTACAAATATCGTAAATAACAAATGCATATATAGAGATATTTTTTGGAGGGGGGAAATGGTCTTCACAATTTGAAATCGATTGAACACACAGTAAAATGCTTGTATACATGCACGCCATCTATTGTAGGATAAATGTACTATACCAGAAACCTTTGCGGGAGTGTATTAAAAAACTTTCCAAAGCTTCATGGCAATCGCATTATGCCAGAAACCTTTGAGGGAGTATATTAAACAACTTCCCAAAGTTTCATGGCAATCGGATAAACGCTCTGGTAATGCATGAAGGACAGACACACAGACATACATTCATTTTTATATATATAGATAAATTATGCTGAGGTAAAGCAATAACCAGCTAAGTGTCATAGCAGGTGATCATAGGTTATGGATGCTGAGTCATCTCCAGTCAGCGCTGTGAGTAGTGTTGCTACCTTTTCAAAATCTCTGACCCGGACAGCAGGTCAGGTTTGTTCGAACAGAAGTTCCTGACGCATGCGCAATGTCATTTTACAATGCAAAGAATAACGTGTATGCCGGTTCTAAATCAGTTACAGTTAGGGACTAGGGACTTGCATAGGAGTAACTTAAGTAACCCTAAATTAAGAAAGAACAGGTACAGATGACTTAGCTCTGTTGGATATTGGAGACGTGTACGATTGTACATGCAAAAAAATAAAAAATAACAGGTCGACAGGTTGCGCACCACATGTCGACGTAAACAGACTAACATGGCAGAATTGCAAATGAGTTTCAGTGAGTGTGAGTTCTTTCGCTGTTAAAATAGTGTAAATTTGTAAAAATATTTGCAAGAATTTTGTTTCATCGTAATTTCACAATTTCTACGAAATTCGCAGACAAAATTAATAGTTCACGCGGACAGTGAGTCAATTCCCAGACTGTCCGGGTGAAAACCAGTCGGGTGGTAACACTAGCTGTGAGTAAGTGGTATGGTTTTATCTAAATTAAATATGTTTGGAACCAATGGATTTGACAGTTGTCTGGGTAGCAAACTGGCAATGCATCCGCATGCTAAGAAGCAGTTGTGGGTTCAAGTAGTGCTTCAGGCCAATTTTTTTTTCCCAGAATTTTCAAAATTATTTAATAAATATTAATTTAATTATAATTATTAAATTTAGCAAGAGATGGTGCCTAATGCCTACTTGTAATGCCAAATTACTCAGTATTTAACAATTATTAGTAGTGGTAATGTATCCTGATTTAATGCAGTAATTGTTTGGCTTGTCTTTTAAATCCTTTTAGTATTTTATTAAGTTGTCTGTTATCATTTCCTGATTGAAACAAGTCTCCAACTTGTTTATTAAACTTCATTACTTAAAAATAAAATGAATTTTAGTTTTTCAAATTTATAGCAATACTTTTGTTTAATCTAAATGTTTTTATATTCAAAGTCCTTATTGTCTCTTCCCTTTTGATTTGTAGAAATTTTCATCAAATCAAGGTTTTTAGGTTATTATTTTCTTTTGGATACTGCAGATAGATTCAGAGTAATTCACTAGCATAATTAAGCTTTTTTGAAATTGATAATGTAATCCTCTATTGCTTGCATCACAGATGCCATGTGCTTTTGTTTAAAAAGTGTTTTTTTGTAAAATTTTGAAAAGATTGAAAAATAATACCCTCCTAATTTTCTGACTCACAAAGAATATGATACATACATTTTCCATTGTTTGCCAATATTTTAACAAAAAGAATTGCTGGTGTCTCACAGACACCATGCAAACAACCACTTTGTGTAAAATCTGCATGAATTGTGAGGGTTTTGTACTTTTGTACATCATATGTAATTAGTACAATTCTTTGAAATATCAATGTAGAATGAATACATCTTTACAATAATACTATTTTTTATATTCTTTGCTATTTCATAATGTCCAGACCAATTTTAATTTCATTCCAACAGACAAGTACATTTATTTTTGACACTAGAATTTTCTCACTGTGGCTTTCTTGTAATCATAGTGTAGTGTCTCAGACATATCAGGATATATTAAGTCTGTGTGAAAGGGTAATGTAATGAGGACTTCACAAAATTTAGATAAACCACAACAAAGTCAGGTTTATTAAAAAACACAGCAATAGACTACAGCTGATATCCTTGACTTATATACATGTACACTCACAATCATTTAGTATGGTTACTTAACAAAGAGAACAATGCCAATCTGAGTATTAAGGTGAATTCCCATTTTAAATAATTACATTTATATACAGGATGACAAACGCATGCTGTTGCATTTCTTCTCAGTTAATTCTTTTGTAGACAATTGTCCCGTTCAACACACAGTCTGTTGATCAAAATGTGATCACCCACATGTCTACTAAAATCTATAACTAATAAATAATAGTCTTACTAAAGTCCTTTAGCAACTCTTGAGCATGATCCAGATGTCCTATACTTGTATATGATGATTTCTTAAAGATGGATTCGGATTCCTTCGCCTCAATCGAATTGTACCTTCTTCAGCCATTTTCTCCAAGGTCCACCACATTACATCTTTCCTTTCTATGTCCAGACAGGAGCTTGGAAGCCAGAAAAAAGTCTTCGAACACCTGAAGCAATTGAATTTATATCCCCTGCCATCCGGGAATGCTGTTTTAGCATGTGACTCCCCTTTTGACCAATCAACAGATTCAGATCGTCTAACAAAGAAAAGGTGATACCAGGAAACAGGACTAAAGACAATGCGAAATATTGTACAAAAAGTAGAGTCCAATACAAGGTTAACAGAAACCTGCTTATACTGTATACTAGAATAGCATAGAAACATACAAAAGAACAATATATAACGTAGTCATGTAACATGATAAAAAATGTGATACTTTCAATTTTGCAACAATTAAAATTTGTATGTTTGTAATGATACTGCTTTCCCTCTGTTATATATAATAGAGCTGGGAAAGTAAAATGCATTTTTTTCAATTCACAAGCATTTTATATGGTTAGATAGTAGACAAAATTCAGAAATTGAAGATGTAATCATGTTTTGATTACATTTTTAATTTCACCAAATTAACAAATTGTAATGATTTGTTTTTTGATTAATGTAAACTCAAGCTTTTAATATCTACCATAATTTATATAGAAAATAAGGACTTCCGACAGGTTTCAGAAGCAGTCATCACATTTAAGAAATTTAAATGGTATAATTTGTTTGAATTTCTTTGGATTTGTTTTTTATATGATGATTTTTTGCATAGCTGAGCTTGAAAAACTGTTAAAGAAAAATACTATATACTAAAGTTTTTATTTAATAAACTCTTAATGTAGTATATAATAAATTTATTATTGTACTGTACATAAGAAATGAAAGTTGTATTTATATTTTTCATTAAAAACTATTTATGTAATTTATTTTTCTTAGTGAAAATTATATTATGGTTACGATTTTACCTCAGGGATCACTTTCTATTGAAGAAAGATTTAATGCTTCTGGTAAAATTTATTTTAATACACTTTATAATCATTTGAATTAAGACTTTGAAAAATCCAAAAACATTTATTTTTGAATATTTCAGTTAGCAAAATACACATAACAAAAAACACTTCGTTTGTTGATAATTTTAGACATTGGATATATTATCAAAGGAATAATGACATTGTTGATCTTGTGGTAAGTAAATATTTTTTTTATAAAATTCTACTTAATTTTAATATTAAAGAATGGAATTATATTGAAATAGTTATAAAAATTTTATTAAAATTAGGTAGATGGTGATGTATATCCTGTAAACAGGCATATTGTGACATCCTCTTTACTTCATCGTCATTATAATTATAGTAGTGTTTTAATTGGAAGTCTGTATCCTTTTGATTCAAAAATTTCTGACATGAAAATCTCAAATTTTAGTGGATGTTTATCAAGTAAGAATATAAAATCGTATCAATTTCAATTAAAATTCATTATAGTGTATATTAAAATAATAATTAATATTTTCAGATTTAATTGTGACTTTTAATGACATAGAGATTAAACCACTAGAAGCAGCATTTGGCTATGAGAAAGGTACACACCAGAATGTTCAAATCTTTGGTGGCGTGACACAGACACATTGTGCAGAATTTGCTGACAATACTAATTATATTAAAAATATTCTGCCTTTATTACCTGATGTAAATATTACATTTGTTTGCTTTTATTTAAGCTGAATAAAAATAAATTATGGAATTTTATATAAATTTTAAAATTTTTGGAAACTTTAAAATATACTATATTTATTTAGATTTTAAAAGAAGAATGGATATCAGAACTACCAAAAATAATTCCATATAAATTTGAACTTCCAAATGAAAAAGTAGAACATCTAGAAAAAATTAAAGTTATCAGTTCACGTAAGAACATTTTAAGTGATTTGTAATTTATTGCTTTATTTCTGAAGCTTTATAAAAATTTGATTGTTATTTATTTGCTGTAATTAAATATAAATACATTAATTAAGAGTTTGCTCATATAGAAAATCATTACTGTTTTACCAAATTAAAAGAATTTTCTTTTATTCTTTAATATATCATAAAGTTATCCCTCAAATACAGATATTACAGTAGACTTTAAAAAAATAGTTTACAATACCTTAATTCACTATTCCAGCTCTGTTTTACTTTTCCAACGAACTTTAAAATACTATAACATACATTGTTATATATTTGTCATAATTCTGTGGGAAAATTTAATTGAGAGAAATCAGATTGGGGTTGATAGACATTGACAAGTACAAAATACACACACACACACACACACACACACACATATTAAAATTATTTAAATGTTTAAAAAGGATCTTCTACAAAACAGAAACCTGAACAATTTGTTACAGTATGTAAAATATCGTTTTGAGCCAGAAGCAGAAACAAACACTTTTTTGGTATTGATTACATAATGTAATGTTATGACTCTTTGTCCTTTAGTGTATATCGGATCCACCAAACGTTCATTAGCCGCAAGAATAAAAGAGCATAAATCTGACATCATACATAATAAATGTACGACAGCCCTATCTTCTTATGCAACAAATCCAGGCATCACATCTATCTTCAATGAAGCGCATGTTATCCACATCATCTAACATCAAGGGCAACTAAAAACTTTGGAAGCAAGGGAAATCTTTAAAGCCGATCGCAAATCCATACACATTAATTTCAAAGAAGAAATGAATCTCTCTACAGCATGGCAATTCTTACTAGACGATAAATCATAATATATTTTATATGATAAATTTAAATAAGGTATTGTGCACATAACGAAGCCCCATTGGTAGAAAATATATTTGAAATAGGTCGTGGATCACTTTCAGAATTTTTTCAGAAAAAAGGCACATTCCAAATTTTTAAAAACATTCAAATGAAAGAATCCAGTTATAATGGAAGATAAAAAATAAGCCTGAAGAAGAGCCCAGGAGGGGCATCGAAAACGTTCGCCGATGTTTTGAGGAGTTTCACACCAGTTATTGATTAATTGTAGGTTGTTGTGTATTTTGAATATACTGTATACAACCCTGTGTGGTGAGAAAGTACATTAAAAGAAGAACATACATTTAAATTTGCAAATTTTAAAATTTGAATGTAAATATAAAGCATACCATGTAACAATCTACTTTAGAATCCCACGCATATAGATCACTGTATTTAAGCTTTTAAGTGATTAGTTCATTGCCTTGCATAAAATATATAACAAATAATTTTAAACAGAGATAGAAAAAATACATAAAAGAAGTTATAGTTGAATATCATTAACTAAATATTAATTAATAACATCATTATTAAATATATTAGTAATCTGGGTGAAAAAGTTATTTAGTTTATATATATCATTTTTTGATAAATCTCCTGTTCTTAACATATAATTTAAATCATGGTTCATGCCAAGTATTTCTCTTATTTGGTATTTCTGATGATATTTTTTAATACCTGTACAGTCTTTCAACAGATGAAGTATAGAAAAGTTTTCTGATTTACGCCAATAGCACTTTTGATTAGAACAATTTATATATGTACAGGTAACCCGTGTATAACACGGCACTTTTATAGCATGGATTCACTTTAACACAGTTCGAGAATTGGAACATCCCCCATATAACACAGTGCTTTTATAGCATGGGTTCACTCTAACATGGTTTGGGAATTGGGTAAAACCCTTGTACAACATAAAATGTAATAAAGGGTGCATTCTTTTATACCTTTGCATAACTCCATGCGAGCATTCTAATTGTTTTCGTGGCTATTTTGAATGCTCTTTCAACAAATACAGTAATACCCCGACTTACGCCATTTTCAAATCTCGTCGATTCATCTTTTGTTTGAGTGCCACGCAACCCTTGATTACTCACTCCCCCCACACTATTGTTCGGCTTACATGTTCGGATGTGTCGCGCGGAATCCACACATAGCTACAATTTATTTTGTGTTATTTATTTCTGTGTTTGTTATATCTATGGAGACTCGAGAGACTTTACTATCTCATCCAAACGAAGTAGAACTAATTCTTCTGCATCAAACAAGAAAAGAAAAACTTTATCTTTGGAATGTAAAGTTAACATTGGGTATGTTCGTAAAGTCGAACGAGTTAAGCGAGAATGAAGTCATCGTTATTCCTATTTCGTTAGACTTTTCGAACGATTCGTTACTAACGCGTTTAACTCGTTTGACTTTACGAACGTACCCATTATTAAAGACTTCGATACAAAAATGAAAATTTGTGAATTGGCAAAGAAGTTTGATCTACCGGAATTGTCGGTCAGAACAATTATAAAAGGCAAAGAAAAAATTCTCGAAGCTGTGAAAAATGCTCAATCTTTAAATTCAAGCATCATTCGTAAACGTCACAGTATTATCGCTGAGATGGAAACAATGTTAAAATTATGGCGTAATAATCAAGTAAATGTGAAAAATTGTAAAATAATATAGGCCTAATTTGTTATACATATGTATTATCTAAGATTTTATTAAACATTTTTTTCTAAATTATTGTTTTCTTTAGTCTCCGGCCCCAATTAAAAATTATTTGTATGTATTTATATGCAAAATTATACCCCAACTTACGCGAATTTGACTTACGCGGTTGCCGCTCGGTCCCACCTATCGCGTAAGTTCAGGGTATTACTGTAATCCATTTAATGGTTAAATTTTACAATTGGGACCCTTCTTTTGCCTCTAAAAGCTCATTTTAGAATTATAAATTCCTCCACACGATACTATCGATAGTGTGGGTGCCTCCATCTTTCTTTCACTGTCATTCCTAAATGCCTACAAACAGCAACACACTCCCATTGCAGAGCAAACTATTAACGAACGCACCCACAAACTGTTACCAGTTGATGATGCTCATGCTGAAGTCATCATATAAAATGAATAATTCTCTGGTAAAATATTTACTTAAATAATAAATAAGTATTTTACCTATGAAAAAAAATGAATAATAAATCCAATTTAAATAAGGATTTAACTATAAGGATAATGTTATACGGGGGTTACCTATATTATTAACCAACAAGGAATATTTATTTAGACGAAGTTGTAAGAAAAATCGTTTAATATTCATATTTATATCAGTTATAATAAATTTTTAATCAGAAGGAAATTTTAAAATCTGAGAGTACCAGGAGTGATAAGCTGATTGCAGTATTAAGTTTTGATCCTGGGTTACTGATTGTAATATGGCCAATTCCATCAGTAGTGTATAGGCATTATTCCAATTTATATCAGATTTATCTAATAAAACACTTGAGATTCCACATGTTTGAATTGTACTATTGAATTTATATTGCCAAGTATCTTTGGTGGAATTTAGAACATTGGTTTGATACATATTTTGGTGTAAAAATTTTATATTCTCATCATCTGTATTTATAAGTCAGTAATAGAAACTTATTAATCTTTTTTTAAAAACCAAGGATATAGTTGAATTCTATTTGTTTCTGCTCTAATAGAATAACCTGGTACAGTTCTCTCAAGCTTGAATAATTTATGTAGATAATTAATATGAAATTTTTCAAATTTGTAAAAAAAAAAAAATCAAGAGCCCATACCGGGCTGGCGTAAAAAAAAGTAGGAAGAATTATAGCATTGAAAATTTTTATGTGAAGTTTTAAGTCAGATATTTTTAACGTTGAGCATAAATATATAGTATTATCGATGAGTGAGTTAATTTTTGCAGTAAATACTTTAAAATGGTGTTGAAAAGATCCATTCCAGCTCAAGTTAATTCCCAGGTATTTTATGTTGCTGATAATTTCTAGAGGTTTGCCATCTAGATGAAAGTTTTTTCTTGATTAGTTAATTTAATATTTTTCCTGAAAATAATTATTTTTGTTTTTGAGACGTTAATCGATAAATGTAACAATGATAAGTATTTATTTACTCTATTGAGTTTATGTTGTAATGTTATGCGAGTAGATGCTAATAGTACTAAATCATCTGCGTATAAAATATAGTGGAAAATATTGACCATTGATATTAATTACTTCATTATCCTTATCAAATAAATTATTTATGTCATTTATGTAGAAATTGAAAAGGTACAGAGAAAGAGGTTTACCTTGAAGTATTCCTCATTTTGTAATTATTTCTGGACTAAGTAAAGTTGCTATTTACATTATGTAGTTTATAAGAAGAAAAAAGATGCATAATCAAATTTGAAAAATTGTTACCTGCACCATATTGTTTTAATTTATTAACCAAAGTCAGAACATGAACAGAGTCAAAAGCTTTGGTGGTATCAATGAAGACAGCATAAATTTTCCTACATTTTTTTTTTTGTAAATATATTTGAATAATTGAAGATAGTAAGAAAATAGCAAATTCTGTACCCCTGGATTTGGTGAAAGTGTATTGAAATTCAGAGTTAAGATTCATTTCTTGGGTCATCGCAAAAGATATAATCTAGGTTAAGGCTTTTATGTCCAACAGATGGCACTATGAGTACGACGCCCTAAGTTTGCTTTTCTGCGAGGCATTATGCTTTTCTGTGAAAATGAACTAAAGCAGATCATCTTCTATCTATTTATATAAATAAAAATGTAATGTTCGTTTGTTCCTACCGATTCCTTTGAAATTTTGACACAACGCTGCATTCGAATACGCACGTGTTTTTATATAATACAGTGGGTGATCGGTTAACGAACAGATCGGATAACGAACACTTTCGCGAAAGATTTTTATGTTCGGACAACAAACACATGATCAGATAACGAACATCCCACAGAACAAACAAGAAGAAGCGACGTAAAATAACGAATATCAACTGGACTTTCCTTGTCTTTGGGCAACAATTCGAAACTTTTCGGTTTTGGGAGACGTCGACATCGATGCTCAAGCCGGTATATACCGATCGGATAGTA